TCTCACTACAAATCTAGTGAAATGCTGTATATCTACTGCGAAAATAAAGCCTAACTGGTGGATGTTGCGTTCCCAAACGTGCGCTAAACTCACATCACGCACATTAAACTAGTTCACTGCATTCATTCACTGTGAACGGAGCCGTTCTGAGGCGTGGAAAACACCGGATCATGAGCTGATCGTCTGAACAAAGCGTGCGCTTTGCTTTGAAACGCGCAGCGAAAACAGACTTGATGAAGGGATTAAGCCATATTGTGCTTTCGGTTTTAGTTAGTCTGACAGATACTGTGCCAAAGCATAATGGCCCAAAACACAACTTCAAAGACCCTTTATGTTAGAATAAGAAGTTTAAATACATTTTAAAAACTACACTTTTTGCCCGGAAGACCTATCGTTTCATATCGTCATGTGACCACGATAATATCGAGACAGTTTTGCTATCGCGATATCACGATATTGATATCGTTACATCCAAACTATTATTGTATTTATTAATATTGTGAATTAGCTTTTAATGTTATATTTTCAGTTTTAATTTTAGTTTAGGTTTAGTAATTTAATTACATGCTTTTATTATTTTTATTAGCTTTTGTAATGTAGCTTTATTTAATTGCAGTTAGTTTGAGTAATTTCAGTCCTTATTTCAGTTAGTTGCTGAGAGATCATTTAACATTTTTTAATTTAGTGTATAATAAAACTAGTGTTGTCAAACGATTAATAACATCCAAAATAAAAGTTTTTGTTTACATTATATATGTATGTGTACTGTGTATATTTATTATGTATATATAAATACACATACATACAGTATATATTTCGAAAATATTTACGTTTATAGATTTATTTATTCATATTCTTATATTTTATATTATATATAAATATATTTAATATATAAACATATATATATATATATATATAATTATTTTTTTTCTTTTTTTTCTTAAATACATACATGCATGTTTGAATTTATATATACATAAATATACACAGTATACACACACACATACATAAGTAGAGCTTTTATTTTGAAGGAAAACTCCAGCTTCAGTGAAAACACGCTTACAAAAACGCATCTCACTACAAATCTAGTGAAATGCTGTATATCTGCCACGAAAATAAAGCCTAACTGATGGCTGTTGCGTTCACAAACGCATGCTAAACTCAGCACATGCAATAAACGAGTTCACTGCATTCATTCACAGAGGCGCGGAAAACACCGGATCACGAGCTGATAGCCTGAACGAAGTGCGTTCTTCGCTTTGAAACGCGCAGCGAAAACAGACTTGAAGGGATTAAGCCATATTGTGCTTTCGGTTTTAGTTAGTCTGACAGATACTGTGCCAAAGCATAATGGCCCAAAACACAACTTCAAAGACCCTTTATGTTAGAATAAGAAGTTTAAATACATTTTAAAAACTACACTTTTTGCCCGGAAGACCTATCGTTTCATATCGTCATGTGACCACGATAATATCGAGACAGTTTTGCTATCGCGATATCACGATATTGATATCGTTACATCCAAACTATTATTGTATTTATTAATATTGTGAATTAGCTTTTAATGTTATATTTTCAGTTTTAATTTTAGTTTAGGTTTAGTAATTTAATTACATGCTTTTATTATTTTTATTAGCTTTTGTAATGTAGCTTTATTTAATTGCAGTTAGTTTGAGTAATTTCAGTCCTTATTTCAGTTAGTTGCTGAGAGATCATTTAACATTTTTTAATTTAGTGTATAATAAAACTAGTGTTGTCAAACGATTAATAACATCCAAAATAAAAGTTTTTGTTTACATTATATATGTATGTGTACTGTGTATATTTATTATGTATATATAAATACACATACATACAGTATATATTTCGAAAATATTTACGTTTATAGATTTATTTATTCATATTCTTATATTTTATATTATATATAAATATATTTAATATATAAACATATATATATATATATATATAATTATTTTTTTTCTTTTTTTTCTTAAATACATACATGCATGTTTGAATTTATATATACATAAATATACACAGTATACACACACACATACATATATGTAAACAAAAACTTTTATTATGGATGCGATTAATCGCGATTAATCGTTTGACAGCACTAAATAAAACGTATTACAGCTAAATAGCTTTAGTTTTGTTAACAATAACAACACTGAATTTGGCATGGTTTCTTACCAAATCTCAGGGGTGTGTGGATTCTTGAGGCGAGCTTTCTCTAAGATGGCTCGAGCGCGTGTGAGCTGCCCGACTCTCTCTTCCAGCCGAGACAGAAGGAGCCATAATGACATGGAATGAGGGCACTTCTTCAGCTGAACGGACACAGCAGAGAAACACTATTATCACGCAGTCCCACTGAAAAATGTTTGCTCCTAATATTATACAGAATTAGGTTCTGCATTTTTAAATTATAGTAAGGCATCTTCTCTAGAGCCCATAAACGTACTCCCTGGTTGTAGGCCTCTCGTGCTTTATCGATGTTCTCTGACTGCTCCTCGATCTGTCCTCTCATCATCCAAAGCTTGGGGAAATCCTCATAGTGCCTCAAGGCCTCCGTACACAGCTCCTGTGCTGCGTCAATATTCCCCAGCACCCACTCCAGCCTCACCGACTTCATAAACACCTGCGAGCGGCACACAGAAAACAGTTATGACAACTCATTTAAAGCTTTTAACAGCCTTTAAAGCCTCTTGAACATGATTATTAAGGACGTGTAAAATGCATAAAGGTGTCCTTAAGTGCAAACAAACAGCCAGGGAGATTTTCATAATCCATTTCCCGTATGAAGCTCACATGGCTAGTTTCCATAGATGCAGGAAAAACATAATTGTGTGCATTTTTTTTGATAACATTATCACTTATAAGGAATCCTGCCAAGTGCTTGAGGTACATTCGATCCTGTGATATTTGTCTAGATGCTGACACTCTTTCCTGGAGCCAAGAGTTAAACAAGCCCAGGCAAGAGGCCATTCTAACACCTTCCATCTGCACCATTTACTCCCAAAAATCCCACGCTGCTTTATAGGGTAAAGAGCAAGCACAACTGCTGTAAGGAGGTCACCATCCACTTACAGACCTCATTTGACACAATCAGCTTTTGGTGCATCGGTCTCATTGACAGGCAGATATGTTCATTCTCTGATGCGGAGTCAACATCAGGGTTTTTAAGGACATGTTAGTCACATCTCACTGCTTAACTTTATATGCAAAGTCTAAAACAGCTTTTGGTTTCTTTATGGGAGTGTGGGGTAAAATAACCTTAATAACAGATTTAGAAATCATATACGACAGTTATTGTTTGTTTTTTTTACAAAAACATGTATATACACATTTTCATGGAGGGTTGAATGTATTTCATGTCAAAGCAAATTATATGATTATTATAATTATATATAATTATTATTATTATTTCTAAATGTATATAAATTATATAAATAGCAGTGATTGTTATATTTAACTGAAAAACATTAAAAAACATTTTTCTTACTTTAAGTCAAACACTAAGTGATATTAAATAAATATTTAAACATATTCCAGCAAGTTTCAAGGGGAACATTTCTCATTTAGTTTAACTTGTATTAAAAGAATTTAAACTGAAGTAAAAACTAATAAAAATGATATGGACTTAAAGTACTATAACTCAAATTAAAATGAAAACAAAATATAAAAACAAAAATGAATTGGTTATTCATTAAGGCTATTGCTACTCTGGGATTTTAATATCTATGTGTGTTGTGACTCAGTCCCGCTATCTAAGGACTTCCTAAGTCTCGTGCATTCTTGTGATTTTAAACAAGCAGTCACTGCTCCCACACATGCTAATGGCCATATTTTAGATTTGGTTTTATGTTATGGATTATCTGTGAATGGTACTGTGGTACATGACACTAATTTTTCCGATCACAAACCTGTTCTTTTTAATGTTTCTGTCCCTATTGAAACTTGCATTGCATTGCCAACATCACGCAAATTTCGTAGGATAGATTCTATGGCCCATGCCAATTTTATTACAGCTTTTGAGGATGCGAGCATGTCAGCATCACTTGATTCACCTTTACATTCGTTCAACTCTGAAGAACATTTAACAATATTTAGTAACATTTGTTCAAATGTTATGGACTCGATTGCTCCTCTTGATATCTAGACCCATAAAACCAAACCCTCATCCACGGATTAATAATAGTAACATTCGCGCTCTTCGTCAGATCTGTAGGAAGGCTGAAAGAAAATGGAAAAAGGATAAGCTTCAGATTTCCTACGAACTCTTAAAAGATTCATTGGATAATTATCAGAAAGCTATGGAAGCCCGTTTCCGCCACCGAATAAAAAAATAAAATAAAAAAAAAAGGTAATTGCGACTTTTAATCTCACAATTCTGACTTTTTTTCACAGAATTGCGAGTTATAAAGTCAGAATTGCGAGATATAAAGTCAGAATTCTGACTTTTTTTCTCAGAATTGCGTGACAAACTCACAATTGCGAGTTATAAAGTCAGAATTGCGAGATATAAAGTCAGAATTCACAGAATATAAAGAATATATAATTGGCAAATTTCTCGCAATTGCGAGTTTATATCTTGCAATTCTGACTTTTTTTCTCGCAATTCTGACTTTTTCTCAGAATTGTGTGATATAAATTCGCAATTGCGAGTTAAAGTCCAATTTTGAGGGGGGAAAAAGACTGATATGTTCTCAGAATTGCGAGTTTATA